AGGTCTCTATCCTCCTCTGAAACCTTAACTTGATAGTACATTGCTTGCACATCCCCCATGAATGCCACAGGTTCTTGCCGAAACCTCAGGAGGACTCCAATCAGTGTGCTATTAAAGTTGGGACCTTGCAGGAGCTGTTCATTCAATGATGATCCTTTAAATGATGCAGAACAGTCAAATTCCACACGCAGACTTTTCTTCCTGGGATGATATATTCCGTGGTGAGGAATGTACCACACTTTACCACTGCTGCCACTTAACTGCTGGGTAGGTACTTTCTCTGCAAAACCATTGAGTAACATGTCGTTGACTTTATTGCGGTACTCTTTGAAGAAATGTTCATTCTGGAGAAACTTTCGTTTTAGACTTGTTAGCCTTTGTTTTGCCACAGCAAAGTTATTGGGCAGATGCACGTCTTTCTTAAGAGGCAGTTTAATTTGATAATGGTTGTCTTTAAGTGTTACAGATCTTTCCACAATATCCATGAACTTCTTGTCTTCCCTTGATAGCCCTTTCTCTTCTGTGACTCTTTCGTTAAAGTCATGATTATACTGGTTATTCAGCATTTCCTCCAATTTACATACTGAAATCCTGTTAACTACAGCTGACCTACATTCAGCATTAAGACAGGAGTCTTCTCCATGCACAAGACCATTAATGACCCATCCCAGCACGGTCCTTATAGCATATGGGCCATTCCCACGGCTATTAATAACCTCCCAAGGTTCCAACAACCTTGGTGCGTTGCTTCCAATCAACAGGTCTACGTTAGCTTCTATCTTGGGAGGTGTTAACCCTACCAGGTATGGCCATTTTACCAGAGTTTCAGCAGTAACAATGTTATCAGTGTTTACGGGCATTTTCTTTTGTGTTAGGGTTTGAGGAAGTTCATGGAAGACATTACCATTAATACCAGACACTTCCAGTCCTGTGAGTGAATATGCTGGCACCACCCTTTCTTGCCCCATAGTGCATAAGAGGAACTGGGTTCGTTTCCCAGTAAGATGAAGCTTTTGCATAAGCTGTTCTGAGCAGAAGGTGGCGGAGCTGCCAGGATCCAAGAATGCATATGTCAGTATTACCTGATCAGATTTGATGGACTTGACTTGGACTGGCACAATGGATAACAGACACTGATCTGCTCCGGCCCCTGTACGTCCACAAGTCTCAGCAGTTGAAGCGAATGAGTGTGATGTAATATCTTTGTCAACTTGAGTAGAAGTACTTACTGTGACCTTAGCAACATGCGCTTTATGCATGCTAGCTGTGTCGCTCTTGTTAATATGAAGTACAGTAGGATGGCTTTGGCTGCATATTTTACAAGTTAGGCGTTTCTCACAGTCACGACTCATGTGTGAAGTACTCAAACAACCAAAGCAGAGGTGTTTCTCCTTCAGAAAATTAATCTTGTCTCTGTGTTTTTTGCATTTGAACTGTTGACAATGTTCTAATAGATGACTCTGAGAACAGTATGCACAGAATAAAGCAGATGCAGAGTTATGTCTAGGTGAGATGGTCCTTGATCCTGTGGTACACTCAACTTTCACAGGTGTAATGGTAGTAGCAAAGCTTTTTCCTTTAGTTCTTTGTTCTGGAGATACTCGTGGCCTATTGACAGCTCTTTGACCAGTTGTTGCAGATGGTGAGTCGCTAATATTGCCATACAATGGATCAGACAGAATTTGAACATGTCTTTCTATAACTCTCACCAGGTCATTGACCAAGGCTCTGTTTCCTGTGGTTTCCTGTAAATCATGTGCAGCAGTCCTCCATTGATCTCGAAGTTTAAATGGCAGCTTTAAGACAATTGCCCTTATGTTACTTGGCATATCCAGCTCATGCATATACTGAAGTTCCTCCATAACATTGCAGCAGCCTCGCAGAAAGAGAGAGTAAGCCTGTAGAGCATTAACATCTTCATTCTTTATTGGAGCCCAAGATAAAGCCTTTTCAATGTACGCCACAGCAATCTTGTACTTACAGCCAAAGTGTTCCTGTACCAGCTGCTTTGCTTTATCATAACCTAGCTCAGGCATCATATACAAACAGCTGCGAACAAGCTCTCTTGGTTGCCCCCTAGTGAACTGTTCCAGATAGTACAAACAGTCGCTCTTACTAGCCTTTTCTTCCACTCCTTGTTCAAAAGCTCTCATGAAGGAGACATATTGGAGAGGATCTCCATCGAACAAAGGGATATTTCTTGCTGGCAAGGATATCAAATGCTGTTGTTGAACAAGTGATGTTGTATTATTCCTCCAGTGCACCCCTGAACTAGATCCTCCTGTATACCTTTGATTTGTATTTGGCACATTAAGTTGGGTTGGTTGCTGATGTAAATTTCGGTTGATTTCAGTTGTTTGTTTATTTAAACCAGACCACTCCTTTGGTCTAGTGGTGGGCTGTTGACTAGCTTGATGTAGCGCTCCGGCTAAAAGTGGGGGGGTTGTTGATGATGATGTCCACTCCTGTGTTTGTTGTGGTTTACTTTGAGGTGCACATTTAAATTCACTTGCCATCGGGTCCAGTTTGTGTAGAGGTGCTAAACTTTGTGTTTCTCTCGTCAAGTAAGAATTCATAGCATCAGATGCATTTTCACTGCAGAAATTGTCAGAAGCTTCGAGCACGGACAGTCTGGCAGCAGTTTCAGCCAACATAGTATCCAACTCCTGTTGCTCTAATTTTCTCTTTATCTGCTGCTCTTGCTCTTCCAATGCATGCTTTTCCTTTAAAGCTGCTATACGAGCAAGCAATGCAGCCTTTTCCGCTTGTGCTTTAATTCGCACAGAAGAAGTAGTGCTTGATTTACTACCTGCACTTTTCCCTGAGCGTTTACTAGTTGCATTTGAAACACTATCCTCTGGATTAATACCATCACCAATTTGGCTACCAGTAGGACCAACACTCACATTTTGACCAGAATTTGATAACCACAATTGCACCTTATAAATGAGCTCATTATTGGCGATCATTTTGGCTTTAAACCACACATCATGTTTTTCTTGTTCAGTATCAGGTAACATACCCATCAAACACTCATGAACACCTTTTGATTCATCACATACCTTAATAAAATCATCAAATACACATTGAGCTTGTACAACATTTCCCTTTTCAATCAAACCATTCAACACATTTCTTAAACTGGCTGCCTTATTCAGCTTAGTTTTCCTTTCATTTTGCAAACGTCCCAGTTTATCAGCGAGCGCTTTAGCAGTCAGTTTAACAACGCGTTTTTCTTTTGATGTTTGCGCATCATTATCATGTTCGATAGTTTTTATTTCTACGGACGGCTCGGCAGGCCTGTCGATCGTTTCATTCGTCTCCATGACCTATTTCACGCGTTCACGATAAGTTCGCAAAACAGTAGCAGAGTTCACGGAGAAAATCGACGTTAATTACCCGCCCCTTGTGTCACCAATGCATTGGATTTTGCCCCGCAAATTGAACACAAACTGAATGGCCATTCATTGCATTGTAGCGCTACACATACCTTGCGGTGGGCGCCGTTGTCCAGCGAATATGAAGACCATCTGCGTAGAACTCACGTCGTGCAGTGCTGATGAAAAGCGTCGTCCGTCGTCCTCCAAAGTGCAGAGCAAACACGCCACAGCAGACCCAGTATGCCGATAACTTTGTGGCCTCCATTCAGACACAACCGGCATGAATCTTCTGGTCCGGCGCAACTCCCGGCGGGTCCGCGATGCGAAGCGACAGTTTTGACTTGATTGTAGAGGCTAAGCCTATTGCTTGAAGTCCCTGAGATGTTGTTAGACAGGCACCCAGCTGACGCACACTGTCCTCTGGCTGATGTAGTGTAAATGAAATGAACAGTCTTACTTGTTTCCGAAGATGTTTACGTTTATTGCAGTTGCAAACTCCAATAGTTCACAAATTACCTTCCAGGTAAGTTTCCGTTCGTAGAAGTCAAACACTGCCACATATCGTGACTTATAAACAAAACAAACCGTCATGCTAAAGCATGAATGAATGTGTGTGGCTCTCTGTGTGAATGCGCGTGAGCGTTTATTTGTGTTTGTGGGTGTGTGTGTGAAAGTGTGTGCGTTTGAAAGTGTGTGCGTTTGAAATTGTGTGTGTTTGAAATTGTGTGTGGTCAAAACTGTATGTGCTCCCTTCCGTCTAGCAACACCTGTTACCTGAATGTTCGTTCCCACTTATAAAGCCTGTTAAAGAGCACCACCTAGTGGAACAATGAGCAAAGTTGCTAAATGGCTCCTACAGTTTGTACACATGAATGTATTGAAAAAATGTTTATTACATGTGGCATTTTCTTCCGTTTTCAGCCAGTTTCTTGAATTTTCTCCCTTTTATGAGCTAAAACTTTTTTTTAAGTCTATAAAAGGTGTTCTGCATTTCTTATTTTGGCCAATTTAAACAATTATAAACCACATAAAACAGAAATATTTTTATGTTCTATAGCGATTCCTATGTAGAAGAACCACTTCCTGCCCTCCATCTGAATTTTGCACGTCATCAATGATGTCATGTGAAAACAACCTATTTAGTGCTAGAGTAAGAGTGCTTTTTAAAGTAAACAATTAGCACATTTTTAGGTAAACTATCTATCTTTTTTGACTATTCACACCAAGTATGATGACTGTATTAAGTTATTACAGCAATGTCAGACAATATATTAAAGAGTTCTAGCATTTTAAGCAGCATTGTGCACTTATATATTACTTAGTGTTGTTATCAGTTATTTAGAGTTAGCTGCTCTTTTCCTGAGGTTTTCTTCAATTGTAATCTAGAACAGACTGAGATTAAAGAGACTTACAATAATAGGCTTTGCTACGGCACCATCTTAAACTCATTTATGCTTTAAAGCTGTTTTTTTTCATAGCCATGACAGTCCGAAATCACGATTTGATGTTTTAGAAAAAGTATTTAATCAGTGTATTGTTTGTATAATGCATGTGTTTGGGGGTTTGCCCTATCTGTGCAACTGATCGACAGTCGTTTTTGCCTGTTAAATCTTTAATCAGAGATGCTCACCAGAGGCTGTGGACCATCAGGGGGCGACAGCGCTTCACGTGGCAGCAGAGAAGGGCATGATTGAGGTGTGCTGGCTGCTGTTGAAGAGTGCCGGACTCCATATTTTACACATGACAAACCACACGGGCCTCACGCCTCTAGACCTCTGTAATCAAGGAAATACTTTTAGGTCTGTTGAAAAACAATAAAATGAAAAAAAAAATTGTAAAGATTAAATTAATTCAGTTGTCACATGCTAGGACTATATATGCATAAATAAAGTCATAAAAGCTGCAGAAGAAAATCAAGAAATAAATCGGATGTCCTACAGTTGACAGTTAACAGTGATAGTTTTTTAAAAAATTGCTGTTAATTTACTCACTCTCAGGCCATCCTAGGTGTAAAATGTAGATTTTTTTTAATGAAACTGTGTTCTTACATTTTCATTTAGTCATTTAGCAGATGCTTTTATCCAAAGCGACTTACAAATGAGGACAAGGAAGCAATTTACACAACTGTAAGAGCAACAATAAATAAGTGCTATAGGCAAGTTTCAGGTCTGTAAAGTCTAAGAAGGAAAGTATTAGTAATTTTTTAGTAATTTAGTAAATTTTTTTTTTTGTTTGTAATTTTTTTGTAAAAATTTTAGTTTTTTTTTTTTTTTTTACAGTTACAGTACAGTTAGTGGTAAGTCCACTAATGGTTCTTGGTGATTCATGAAATCAAGACAGCAGCTACAAACACTTTCGAAGTCAACAAGTAAATAAATAAATCAAATAAAAAAAAACTATTTGTCATTTTTGGGTGATCTATCCATTTAATGTCTATTTTTAAATGGGACACATTCAAAGAAAATCATGCTGTATTGTATGTTGTAGGGCTGCACGATATTGAAAAAATCTGACATTGCGATATTTTGTATTTCTGTGATAAATACTGTCTTGTGATATGAATAAACTACTGGTTTTATCAAGAAATATATATTACTTTTTAAGATCATAATGAATGAAATTTAAGATTTACACAGGGCTAAATGCTAATGATGTTTTTAAAGGCCAAGTCAAAACCTTTAAAAAACCTTAAAAACAAATGTCATTGTAAGGAAGATAATTAAACCGTATTTATAAGTAAATAAAGTTTTAAAATATATTGTTATTGATTTGATAGTTGTTGGCCCAATTGGGTATAGCTTTACATAGACAGGAAAATCAAGACCCGTTTAAAATGACCTAAAGACCTACAACACAATATTTTATTGGATTTAAGACTTTTTAAGGCCAAAAAAATGGTGTTTGAAATTTAAGACTTTTAAAGACCCCACAGATACCCTGAATACAGTTCAGTTTAGATCAGATGCCTTGAATAACACTAATCGGAAGTGCTCATTAATTGATTGCAATAGGGGATTTAATCAAGCACAAATTTAATAAAACAATGTTGCTTATTGGTTTTGTGAAACAGTATTCAGGTACAGAAATTAGAAAAATCTCATTTAAAATAACACTGCATCATCTTCAAATAAATAATAAAATAAAAATGATTGGGTTTAGTTACAAATGGTACAAGTTTCTTATGCCTGAATGCTTGATACTCTCTTGAAATGTTCATACAGTCACAGGCAATAAAGGCAGACTTCCACTTAAAAAAGCTAAATAAAAACAACTATGGCTCCTGGTCATCTAAAAACCAACTCAACATTACCACTCCTGAGATGTGACTATTGCAGATTCACACATTGTGCGATATCAATGCTGAAATTATATTATATTGTGCAGCCCTAGTATGTTGTGACTATTTGTATTTTATGTAATATTCAGAATATTTCCTACTATTAATTAAACTTTATTTTCTTTTATCCTCTAATATTTGTCTAGGCATCAGCAGCTCTCCAAGATTTTGACGGATTTCAGTCAACAACCAAAAAATCTGATTCCTAAGGATTCATATGGTATTGTTGTTTTGCTTCCTGTGGGTTTGTTGTATAATGATATATCCATCGGCTGTAATAATGCTTATTCATAAAGTGCTCTGTTCTGCAGTTATGTACTTCTGGATGCTGCTTTTGCCATCTCTCAGCGGGGTTGCGGTTCTCGTTATAGCTGCTGCTCTTGGTGAATATGGAGGAATCTTCTCTGCGGTGCTTTTCCCCTTCATGGCAAAAACCATTCTGTCTCAGTATCACAGACTGAGCAGCTTTCAGAGGTTAAAGGGTTATGATCGGATGGGAACTGCATTGCTTTACTTTGCATGATGTTGTGATCTTATTGTTATATTTCCTTTTTGTGTGTGTGGATGTCGACTACAGGTTACCAAATCCTGTTTACCTGGGAACTCTGACTGCAGGCCTAATTCATTCCACTGTTTGCTTTCTCTATAAAATTATACCTAATATCCTTTGCATTTCAACAGCCACTTACAAAAGTTACGTTTTTGTTTTTACTTTTATGTCAGTGTTTCCTTAACAGCTTACGTTTCTGGCCAGCTCATACACTCTTACACCTTTCACTGGTCCATTTTTGTGTGCTCGCTGGACTTTTTTGGAAGGTTTTAAAGCAGAGCCCTGGACAACTCAAAGACGCTGATACTGATTCCCGGTTTTCCAGCATAGGAGACTTAATGGAAGCTGGACAGAGCCCAGACAGATTCTGTATTTACTGTGAGGTGAGCACTTCATTAACCAGCACTGGGTCTGAATCTGTTTGCTGACTTTGCTGATACTGCATCAAAATGTTTATTTGTTAAGGGGTCGAAGTAAGAGCACAAAAGAAAACTTTTAAATTATTATTATTATTATGCTTAGTTTTGTAAAATAAGTAACATTTTTTGAATAGTCAATAGCTAAATAAGTTTTTTTGTTATTTACATTACACTTACTACATATTTTGAGAGTTTTTTTACTGCATCAAAATTGTTTTCTTTGACTTTAAGTCACCAGCAATTACCGAAAATCAATACTATTATTATTGCTGTTACTAAGAATACTAGTCATTGTTAGTAAATAGTAATAAGTACCAATATTTAACAAAAATTGTATGTATATATATACTGTATATACACACACTTACCAGCCACTTTATTAGCTACACCTTACTAGTCCCGTGTTGGACCCCCTTTTGCCTTCAGAACTGCCTTAATCCTTTGTGGCATAGATTCAACAAGGTACTGGAAATATTCCTCAGATATTGGGTCCATATTGATATGATAGCATCACGCAGTTGCTGCAGATTTGTTGGCTGCACATCCATGATTTGAATCTCCCGTTCCACCACATCCCAAAGGTGCTCTATTAGATTGAGATCTGGTGACTGTGGAGGCCATTTGAGTACAGTGAACTCATTTTCATGTTCAAGAAACCAGTCTCAAATGATTCGCGCTTTATGACATGGCACATTATCCTGCTGAAAGTAGCCATCAGACGATGGGTTTACTGTTGTCATAAAGGGATGGACATGGTCAGCAACAATACTCAGGCTGTGGTGTTGACACAATGCTCAATTGGTACTAATGGGCCCAAAGTATCCCAAGAAAATATCCCCCACGCCATTACACCACTACCAGCAGGCTGAACTGTTGATACAAGGCAGGATGGATCCATGCTTTCATGTTGTTGACACCACATTCTGACACTGACATCCGAATGTTACAGCAGAAATTGAGACCCATCAGACCAGACAACGTTTTTCCAATCTTCTATTGTCCAATTTTGGTGCGCCTGTGCGAATTGTAGCCTCAGTTTCCGGTTCTTAGCTGGCAGGAGTGGCACCCATTGTGGTCTTCTGCTGCTATAGCCCATCCACCTCAAGGTTTGACGTGTTGTGCGTTCAGAGATGCTCTTCTCTATACGTCGGTTGTAACGAGTGGTTAATTGAGTTACTGTCACCTTTCTATCAGCTCGAACCAGTCTGGCCATTCTCCTCTGACGTCTGGCATCAACAAGGCATTTGCAATCACAAAACTGCATTTCACTGGATATTTTCTCTTCTTTAGACCATTCTCTGAAAAACCCTAGAGATGGTTGTGTGTGGAAATCCCAGTAGATCAGCAGTTTCTGAAATACTCAGACCAGCCCGTCTGGCACCAACAACCATGCCACATTTAAAGTAACTTAAATCCCCTTTCTTTGAACTGGAGCAGATTGTCTTTACTATGTCTAAATGCCTAAATGCATTGAGTTGCTGCCATGTGACTGGACAGGTGTACCTAATAAAGTGGCTGGTGAGTGTTCATATTAAGTTATTATTAGATTGAACATTTTATTAACAATAATCAAAGCAATCATTTAAAATATGTATGTAAATAATAATAATAATCAGCACTGGATATGTTTTCCGATTGACATATTTTGAGACATTTAATTTACATATATTCATTCATTAATTTTCCTTTAGTCGCCACAGCAGAAAAAAACACCTAATTCACATGTGTGTGTGTGTATGAATTATAATTATTAATAGTAATAATACAATACATCTCATATCTACAACTCTTTTTCTTTTAGCTAATCCAAGTGGAGAACTGTAAACACTGTCGCCTGTGTGACATGTGCATCAAGGACTACGACCACCACTGCCTCTTCATCAACCAGTGTGTGGGACGGGAAAACCACCGCACCTTCATCCTCTTCCTCATGTCTATGGTAATGGCTCACCTCATCTTCATCCTCAGTGCCATTTTCTACCTCTACCTGAAAGTTTCAGGCCTGCAGCTGTCAGACTGGGGCTCGGTGGCGGGGCGAGAGGCCTGGGTCCTCCTGCTGACCCTGCTCAACCTCCTCTCTCTGTTCTGGGTGGGATGGTTATTAGGAGAGCAGCTTGATGCCATTTCCAGGGGGACCACCACCTATTACAGGCGGTATGACCTAAAGGGCCCTTCCAAAAGACAGCGGTTGGGTACAGTTGTTTCATTCCTGCTGGAAGGGAAAAGAAGACAGCAGCGCAGTCAGTCTTTTAGCATATAGAGACTTTTTTTTATGGGTGTGTGATATTTATTGTGTATGTGTGGAGCCAGCCAGAAAACAGTTTAAATTCTTCTAAAATTCAAGTTATGAAAGCATAAAGTATCAGTGTGTAGGTTTTTGTTTTGTAAGGGATGACGATGTTCACCAATGTCAACCAAGCAAGTGAACTGTTATTCAATATCAACACAGTCACAAATGTGTTACTGATTTTATACAACAGTGAAATAAACAAGAAATTACTATGGTCACACTTTAATTTTAGGTACAATTTTTACTATTAACAATTTTTAACATTGACTTTTGCCACAAAAAAACTAACTTGCTGCTTATTATTAGGAATTAGTAGGCCCATACGGCCCCAAATAAAGTGGGTCTAATTGGATTTGCTTTGTAAACATTTAATACACGTTAAAAAGGTATTGCTTTTTATTTTATATATTAAGGTTTTAGTTACGATACTCCCAAAATCATTCTGCATAAATCCGCAGATTTTTTACCAAAATTCTGCGCAGAAATAGCAAAAAATGCCAGCAGATTCCGTCTGGCCCTAGTTATTAGGCAGTAGTCACTGTAGGTTTAGGTAATGTGTACTAAAACGTGTACTTTATGAGTACTAATAAACTGCCAATATTAATAGTGAGAATTGGTATTTAAAATAAGTGTCATTGTTAATATTTACTGAGTTACATTTTAAAAACAATTTGTCTTTTATTTTTGTTTTGCCAACAAAAATAATTCCAAACAATACCATAGATAAATGTTTGTTCACTTTATAGCAACACTGCAGCCTTTTGTTCCTGAATGATTTTCAAACAGATCAAATTTGATTCAGTGATTCATTCATACATACACTTGCTTCATTTATGAATTAATCAAATATTTAGATTTAATTGTTTGCTTTTAATTCTACACAATATATTACAACTTGGGGCGGCATAGTGGCTCAGTGGTTAGCATTGTCGCCTGACAGCAAGAAGGTCGCTGGTTCAGATCCCAGCAGGGCCAGTTGGCATTTCTGTGTGATGTTTTTATGTTCTCCCTGTGTTCATGTGGGTTTTCTCCGGGTGCTTTGATTCCCCCCACAGTCCAAAGACATGCGCTATAGGTCAATTGGATGAACTAAATTGACCGTAGTGTATGAGTGTGTGAAAGCGAGAGTGTGTGGGTGTTTCCCAGTACTGGGCTGCGCTGGAAGGGCATCTGCTGCGCAAAACATATGCTGGAATAGTTGGTGGTTCATTCCACTGTGGTGACCCCTGATAAATAAGTGGCAAAACTTTTACAGCTTTTACATCAGTTTACAGTCTAGGGGAGGCAGTGCTAGTTACCAAAAGTCAAAGCCAATCAGCCGTCAGAGTTTATAGAAAAGGAAAGATTGTGTAGTTTATGATGGACACTTTCTAGATTCAGACTATGATTGTACCCAGTTGGAAGGTCAGACATGTTTGATCTTTTAAGATGATTTTTGAACAAACTGTATAGAAACTGAAAACCTTGTACTGTAATCATTGGCTGTTGTTTTTTTTTCTTTTCTTTGTTTTCTAAACACAAAGTGTAAGTAAATCTGTTTTAAAGTGTATTCCAGCCTAAATTTAAAAGGAATATTATGTAAAATGCGCCCTGCCACCCTTCGAAAGGAAACTCATTTCCTTTCGGTCATGACCCAAAGCTCATGACCATAGGTGAGAGTAGGAACGTAGATTGACCGGTAAATCAAAAGCTTTGCCGATAGGCTGAGAAGCTCTGACACTAGGGAGGAGCTCGGAGTAGAGCCGCTGCTCCTCCACATCGAGAGAAGTCAGCTGAGGTGGTTTGGGCATCTGTTTCGGATGCCTCCTGGACGCCTACCTAGGGAGGTAGTCCAGGCATGTCCAACCGGGAGGAGGCCTTGGGGAAGACCCAGGACACGCTGGAGGGACAATGTCTCTTGGCTGGCCTAGGAATGCTTCGGGATCCCCCTGGAGGACCTGGAGGAAGTGTCTGGGGAGAGGGAAGTCTAGGGTTCTCTCCTAAGACTGCTGTCCCCGTGACTTGGCCCTGAAAAAGCGGCAGAAAATGAATGAATGAATTATGTAAAATGTAACACTTTTAAATAATTTGAACAAAAAAAAATGGTTTGGATTTCAATAGTTTGTACGACCCAAGGGAAATTATATCGCGCAGGTTAAAAAAGTCTTATAATAATGCTTGAGTAAAGCAGAGGTCATTTCTGTCTTGTACCATTACTGTACTGTTCTGTCAAAATAAATGCCTTTCAATGTCAATTAATGCGTTTTATATTTGTATGAAATAATTAACATACTTAACTGAAATGGAAATGCAAACCGGTGAATAAAGAATAATTAAAAATTGATGCCCAGTCATTTTTATGACATTATATTGGCATAAGGTCTGAAATCTACAGTATATGGGCCAACATTTGGCTCCTGCCATTGATTTCCAGAGGATTTGTTTTGTCTTATGAGCAATTACCTTATTAACTGTATGTGTTGTCTTTCATGTGAAACAGTTTTGCCTTATTACATTAATCATTCAAAATATTATAAAGAGTTTAAAATTAAATGTATATTATACATAAATGATTAGAATACAAATTGGAAACAAGCAGAATTCAGTCACAAGCTCAACAAAACAGCGATTATTAATCCAAATTACTGATTGCCTCCTGCAATCAGAAATCTGTGTGATAGTTTGTAAAGCTTAGTGCATTTTAAACCCTTGTGAAGCATTTTTGTGGCATTTGTGCCATTCTTTTCCAACACTGGGATAGGGTCCATTATTGCATAATCTTTTATTATATCAATCTGAGCTAGTTTAACACTAAATGTATCTAACATTTTGAACATAGTTTTATCAGAGCGTTCTTCTCACTGCATTAGCATAGTGAAACACTCTAGCTTCATTTCCAGGCCTGCTTTTAAGATGTGTCTGTCATTAATCATCTGCGAGGCTTGTGCAGTCCGCTGCTAATTTTTCATTGATTTTTCTGCAGCGATGCCATTCAGTAGGGGAATCTGCAAGCTTATATCATTGCTCTAAGTGACAAGGCAACAAATAAATGCATTTTGGAGCTATTGTGGCACAGTCCTACTAATGCAACTAAATAGTCAAGGTTATCCATGTGACATCCAGTAGAGGGTTTGATTCAGGCCATTTATTGTATTTTCCCAGACGCTGTTTGTCTGCATAGGGGATCAGTTTCTGAAAAGTCTTTCACTGTGAATCACTGCATCATGTGCTCATCTTCAGTCCCACAATCTATTACTGGATTAAATGCTAATTCAGTCTAACTGCCGGTTTATTTGGTCCCACGCTAGGGATGGGCGAAATCTTATTGTTTGAATATACTCAAGATAAGAATTAGCCTTCCCTATCGGTCCGTGCAATGAAGAAATGTACTGCAGAAGCTATACAGTTCAACTTTACGGTTGTGCATGTGTATGATTTTGTTTAGAGATTCACTGGCATACTTTCACAACAAATTCACTTCATAGCATCAGTCAAGTGTTGGAAATCACTTTGGTATTCTATAAAGTGGTAAAAGCTTGTTTTTCGATTTGTGATAAGATTATTTTGCTTACCCCATTGGCAGATTATTTTGCTTGATTTAAGGAAAAACTCACTTCATTTAGGCATATTATTTCTTAAAACAAGACAAAATGTTTTGCTTGTCTAGAAAATGCTTCTTGATTTAAGAACTTTTAGATATTTGGACTAGAAACAAGACAAAAAAATCTGAGCAAGAAAAGCATTTTTTGCAGTGTACCCGAGTTCAAAGCTCCCTCTCGCCCTGCAAACGGGAGGGAGCCCAGGGCTTAAGGAGCTTTTGAGCTCAGGGCTCTCTCCCTGGACAGCATGCCAAATTTGCTTATAATCAATCATCAGCTAAGTGTGAACTCTTGAAATATTGTATGTCAAGTCAGGCAGTGAACATCATTGCTTTTGAAAGAAACCAGATCTTAAACGCAGTAGTATCTGGATGCAGACTTGGATTTACAAGCTGAGACTGCATATCTGAGACGCAATGTCAGACACAATGCAATCAATGGAACTAGTGACGTCACTGTGAGGAGTAGGGTTAAGTAAGCCCATTAAAAAGCAATCCACGCAGGCAGCTCAGCTTGCAACTGCACCAAGTCTGCATCCAGACCCTCTCCTTAAACGTGGCAGAAAGACAATTCACCAGAAGCGTTTGCGCTGCCTTACTGAAAATTAAAAAGTCCTTGAGCATACCCCATTGTTCATTGCTTACATGTTTGATCAGTTTATCCATTTCTATCTTCCTTTTTCTCATTTTCGCCCTCTAGTGTCCAGTATGAATGTAAGAAATATCTGAACCACCAACTTATCCAGCATATGTTTTACGCAGCGGATGCCCTTCCAGCCACAACACATCAGTGGGAAACACCCATACACTCCTGCATTCTCACCCACACATACACTATGGCCAATTTAGCTTATTGAATTCACCTATAGTGCATGTCTTTGAATTGTGGGGGAAACAGGAGCACCCAGAGGAAACCCACCTGAACACAGGAAGAACTTGCAAACTCCACACAGAAATGCCAACTGAAACCAGCCGGGGCTCGAACCAGCGACCTTCTTGCTGTGAGGCGACAGCGCTACCCACTGTGCCATCGTGTTGCCTGAAAGAGATATTAAATTCATTCATTCATTCATTTTTTTTTTTTTTTTTGCTAAGTCCCTTTATTAATCTGGGGTCGCCACACGTTATCCAGCATATGTTTTATGCAGTGAATGCCCTTTCAGCCACAACCCATCACTGGGAAACACACACTCATTTACACACTCGTTTACGTGCACCACGTCTTTGGAATTCTAGGAAAATCCAGAGCACCCGGAGGAAAACTGCACAACTACACACATAACAACTTCACACAGAAATGCCAACTGACCCAGCCGAGTCTTGAACCAGCAACCTTCTTGCTGTGAGACGAACGTGCTACCCACTGCGCCACCGCGTCATCCCAGATATTAAATTACACAACATTTTTCCTAGAAATAATAAAATAAAGTTATACATTGCTCTGAAGATACAGGAATTTATTACATATAAATTATTGATATTGTTATCTCAATAAGTACTAGAAAAAGGATTCCCACACTTCTTGAATGTACTTGAATTTCAGACATATGCATTCAAGACCTAGAAAGTTCCTTAAAACAAACACAGATCCTTTAAAATTCTTGAATCTAATTTGAAATTAAATTCGTTTTATGGTGTTAATTCAACAA